AGGGTTTCTCTGCGTAGTTTTGCGCCTTTCCTGGAGCTCACTTGGTAGCCCAGGCTGGCCTCGAACTCACAGCGATCCGCCTGCCTCTGCCTCCCTAGTGCTGGGATTAAAGGCGTGCGCCACCACCGCCCAGCGAAAGCACTTTCTATGCGGGCTTGGTGACCTAAGTTCAACCCTCACCCTAGAATCCACAGGGAAGGAGAAAACCAACTCCTGAAAGTTGTCCTCGACCTCACAAGTGCAGTGTTAATTAAACGAGAGAGGGGAAGAGAGAGGGGAAGAGAGAGAGAGAGAGAGAGAGAGAGAGAGAGAGAGAGAGAGAGAGAGAGAGAGAGAGAGAGAGAGAGAGAGAGAGAAGAGGTTTGAGGACTAGTGGCTGCAGTCCTATCGCGTTAGAGGGCTAAGCGTGTACTGGCATTAAATGACATCAGGTTCCAGGTTTATGAGGTGACTATGGGGGAATTTGGGGAGGGCTGAGAAACAAAGCCCCTCCCCGCGCCACTACCCCGAGGCCACGGAGTCCGCGAGGTGCAAGGCGCGCCACCAGGGGGCAGGCCAGAGCCGAGGAGGCGGTGCCGAGCCCGAGTTGGGAGGGGCCGGGACGCAGCGACGCCGTGTCCCGTGACCGTCTTCCACCCGCCCGCGGCCGACATGCAGTCCCCAGCCGTGCTTGTCACCTCCAGGTGAGCCAGCCCTCCGACCCTCGCGTCCCGGGTACCCTTGCAGCCTGGCGGTTCATTCCGCTGCACCCCACTGTCCCGCAGGTGTGGTGACGCGCTATCTAGCGCCCCCAGTTTCACAGACGAGGAAACCGAGGCCCCCTAGAGGATAAAGCACTCATCCAAGACCCTAGGAAGGCCTGGGACTGGTCCGATCGCGCTCCCTGCCCTTGTGTACTTTGGGGTCATTTCTTCCGCCTTCCTCCCACCTCGCCCCCCAGCCTTCCAGCGCTAGCTCTGTGTGTACCTGCCCGATGCTAAGCACCAGAGACGAGATGAATCAAACAAGCTGGTCCTGCGGGGGGATACCCGCACCAGGGTGGCTGGTGCTGCGGGAGGGAGGGGGCAGTAAGTTCCAGATACCCTGGGAGCACCAGGTAGAGCTGAGTGAGAGCCTGGCTGTTGGCGCTGGAGAGAATTCAGGAGCTTCCGCAAAGGGGTCAGCAGCAGTGTGCACCCACCCAGAACCACACCTAAGAGACCCAGGCGGGATAGAACTTGGAAAGTCCGGGAGGGGACTGGTCCTACTCTTTTCTCTGCTGCTTTTTAAGTAACTCTAAAATGGCGAACTTCAAAGGATGTTCGTATACTCTGCCTTTCCGCTCCCTACACGAACTCGAGCCAAGATACCCAGCTTATTGTGTAAATGGACACATTACCCAACACGGGTTCAGCTGTACTCCCAGCTCCCTGTCTAAAAAAAAAAAATATGATTCTGTACATAACCCCTGGTGTAGGGAGCTGCTTGCTCTCCTTGGTTTGGTGAATGAGGCTACAGACTCACACAATCAGCATTAGAACAGATGTCTCTATCGCCCTGTGTGGTGGTGGTGGTGGTGTTTCCTTTCTCCGAGCCTCAGTTTCCCTTTCTGTAGATGGAGGTTCCATATAGACAGGTGGAAGCAAGCATGCGAGCCGTAAATGTCCCTGTGGGCCACACCAAGCAGACCCATGACTGTGAACTTGGTGCTGGTGCTTAGGAAGGGCAGTGGCGACTTCCCTCGGTGACAGCATGCACATGGGTGTGACTGAGTGCTGCTCATGGTGAGGGCAGAGGGGTCGTGGCCTGTCCATTCTGATAGTCACAGCAGACACAGGGAGCTTGCCTGTGAGAAATGTTGACCCCTTAGCAAGCACCGAGGTAGCCTTGGACCCAGGGTCAGCTGATATTTCCAGCTTCTTCCTGGAAATATTCCTCTCCCAGGCTTCATACATGCATCCAGCCAGCAGGTGTTTTCTCAGGGGCCTCTTCTGTGCCAGATACTGATCCGGGTTTTAGGATAGAATGGCAAGGCTGTGTTGGGAATGATTGGGATGTGGGAAAAGGCAAGCTATGTCAAGGATGGTAAATGCTGAGAAAAGGTGGGAGGTCTGGGTAGACACGAGTCTTACATGATGTGGTCAAGGGACCATCTTTCTGAGAGACGGCGGGTGAACAGGCTCTTGGGAAGTCGTCCCCCGAGGGAGAGAACTATAGAAAGAAAAATCTTGACATGTGTGCTCAGCAGAGAAGACAGCAAGAGCCACGGTGAAGAGGCCAGTGTACTGAAGTAGGGGGAGCATTGGGAGCGAGGTGGCCCTGGAGAGCCCGCAACAGAGTAAGACCAGAGTGTGGTGAAAAGCATAGACAGAGCGGACATATGACTAGGAGCAGGGAGACCCTTACGCTGCTGCACCCATGTCCTGCAGGCACTGGCTGGAATCCTTGTGGTCTATTTAGGCTCTCTGTTTTCTGAATGATGAGCTCTGAGGCCTGTGAATGGTGAAGTTGCTGCGGGGGTGGGGGGGGTGGGGTGGGGGGGTGGAGATTCACTGCAGGGGCTCACTGCTTCCTGGGATGGGGACACAGGAGACAGGAATCAGCATTTGTTCAGATGGGTTCTTTTGTTTTGTTTGTTTGTTTGTTTGTTTTGAGACAGGGTTTCTCTGTGTAGCTTTACGCCTTTCCTGGAACTCACTCTGTAGACCAGGCTGGCCTCGAACTCACAGAGACCCGCCTGCCTCTGCCTCCCAAGTGCGGGGATTAAAGGCGTTTGCCACCACCGTCCGGCTCAGATGGGTTCATTTTAAAATGTGATTGACAGTCAAACGGAGATGCTAGGTAAGTTGAGAGGTGGGATGGCCTGGAGGGAAGAGTCTGGATCACAGGTAGGAATTGGGGCGCCATTAGCCTGGGATGTCATGGAAGGCCTTGAGTCTGGGTGAGGCCCATGGAGGGCAGTGTGAGCCAGATCACGGGTGAGCCGTGGGAATGAAATTAACAGGATCCTGAGGGACCTGTAGCCACATCGCGATTGAGCAGCGTGTTTTAGGACACGGGTGAGCAGACGATGACCGTGAGCCATATCCTGCCAACTACTCGCTTTTGTGATTCCGAAAGTGGGTACCTTTCGGCGGGCCCTGCCAAGGTATGCCTGCCCCTAAGCAAACATGCCACCCGAGACAGAGTTAGTGCAAGAGGTGGGGGGGAGGGGAGAAGAGTGAAAAGGTGAAAGTCTCTTGGAGTGGGAACATGAGGGAGGTGGGCAGACCGACACAGAGAGAACAGGCAAGAGACAAAAGGCGAGAGAGCGAGCCGTGCCTGGCAGACACTTTATAAAGGACTGCGCATGTCGCATAGGTAGAAAGGCACCTGGCGACAGGTGATGACGTAACTGCCCTGGGGGGCGGGAACTAACAATTCCAGTTGTACAAAGGACACACACCCGGACGGGGCAGATGTTGCCTGTGGCTGCTTCCCCTTTGCGTCCGAAGGCAGAGCTGAGGGGATGCAAAGGAAGTGTGCAAAGCCTGGGATGGTTGAGGTCTGCTCTTCCCACCCTCAGGCTTCTGATTCAGTGACCCAAGTGTGTCATGCTTACCAGTTCCCTGGTGACGCTTATGGCGTCCAGAGACCGCATCTTGAGAACTCTACGTCTGGATGAGGTCGTGTTCCCAGGCTTACTGCTCTTGTCTGAAGTTAGTGGTCAGGAGTTTCAGGGAGGGCCGGGGAAGCAGAAGGGTGCCAATCGGGCAGAGCTGCCTGGGCACAGGGGCAAAGGAAGCGATGAGTTGCCTAAGTGGGTTTTTTCTAATCCAGCCCAGCCCTAGGCATGAAGAAGACGTAGAGATCCTGTTGTACAGTCAATACCACAGGGGTAGGCTATGGAGTTCAGTTCCTCCTGTGGTTGACTATGGAACACCTCCAGGGAGCAGGGTCCATGGGAGGTTCCAGTAGGGACTTGATGATCCTCTCCCATCTTCCGCCATTCAGGGTGAACAGTCTTCCACATTATCACTTCCCTCAGTTCCATTGTCTTAACAGTCCTAAGGAAAAGATGCCTCCTTTTCCTATCCCACTGGCAGAGGCTGCCTGGCATTACTCCCTGGAGCTCTGACAGCAGAGACAAGCTACTCCCGTTCGGGGTGTCTGTTCCTATCTTTGAGGTGGCACTGAGCCAATGGAGTAATTTCATGCATTCTACCTGCTGAGAGGGCCAGATGCGTCCCCCGTACTGTCCCCTGCAGTCTCCCTCCTCCCTCCTGTCCTCGCGACAGTGGCACGTGGTCTTCATTCAGCGCCACACAGAACACTGTCTGTGGGCCAATGGTAAAGAAGTGGGCTGGCTTACACACACACACACACACACACACACACACACACGCACGCACGCACGCACGCACGCGCACACACACACTGCATATGTCATGCTTTCAGTAGGCTGCCTCAGTATGACAGTCTTATTCCCAGGTGTGTGTGTGTGTGTGTGTGTGTGTGTGTGTGTGTGTGTGTTTGCATTAAAAATACTCCATGAGAAGCCGGGCGGTGGTGGCGCACGCCTTTAATCCCAGCACTCGGGAGGCAGAGCCAGGCGGATCTCTGTGAGTTCGAGGCCAGCCTGGGCTACCAAGTGAGTTCCAGGAAAGGCACAAAGCTACACAGAGAAACCCTGTCTCGAAAAACCAAAAAAAAAAAAAAAAAAAATACTCCATGAGCTCTGGTGGGCATTCATAGCTCTCTGAGAGCAATAGGTTAGCCAGCACATCCTTGCACCCTGGAGAGGATGTTCCCACTGTATCCAGGCCGGGGTCTCTGTCCCCTAGGTCATCCAGAGGAGGAAGCCACTGTTGGCCTGCAGTCTTGGATGTCATTCCAGTTCCCTAGATTCAGCAACTCTATCGGCTGCCCCCTTGCCCTCTTTGGAGCTGAGGACTCCTGGAGGACTTCAATCTTACTGTCTACACAGACTCGGGTGCCTCTCTTAGTCTACATAATACACACACACACACACACACACACACACACACACACACACACACACAATCAGAGTACAAGGACAGACTGACAGGGACACACAACTCAGTGGCCCAGAACCCAATGACCAGACCTTTCTGACCTGCCTGCACCTCACTGGCAAAGCCTGTCGCCTTGAACCTGATCTTGACCTGCCTTCCTTTGCTTTACAGGCAAGTTCAGAACGTGCACACAGGCCTTGACTTGACCGTGCCACGGCACCAGGAAGTGCGGGGCAAGATGATGTCCGGCCACGTGGAATACCAGATCTTGGGGGTGACCCGGTTGGCTGGGTTCAAGTCCGCCAAGCACCGGCCTGAAGATGTCGTCCAGTTCTTGGTGAGCAGAGGACCCTAGCCACGATGCTCTGAGGGTGCCCAGGCAGGGTGTCTGCCCCGCGGGGTGCAATAGCATCAGAGTGCTGACACTTCCCTACACAACAAATGCCTAGGGAGGGTCTGGAGGGCTAGACTGTGTGGTAGACAGGCTCTGCCAGAGTAGATCCATGCTTAGAGTCCACAGGAAGGCAGCCTTGGTAAAGAAGACTTGGCTGCTGCCAGGAGCACAGGGGAGACTGGGAATGTGTAGAGGGAGCAACCTAATACACCTTGAAGAAAAGATTCTGGACACTCCCTGGAAGAGATGGAAGCAGGACAGCATTTTTTTTTTTTTTTTGGTTTTTCGAGACAGGATTTCTCTGTGTAGCTTTGCACCTTTCCTGGAACTCACTTGGTAGCCCAGGCTGGCCTC